TGGACTCAGCATATCTAAACTGCATGCACCCTCTGGGTCTGAACTTTGGTTACCTTCCTCCTTGTCTCTATTCTTTTGAGATCTAGCACTAGCTGCATTAACACTTTTCCCTAGTTTCATCTAGGTGCCTTAACTTTGAACTGCAGCAGCGCAGAGGAGACTTGTTTGCACAGCAGCCCCCAACCTTCAACCATACAGCAACAATTAACAGCAACTTCTGTCACCACCTCTTTGCACTGAATAGATAACTCTGAGCAAACAGACCCTTGCACAGTAGCCCCAGGAGCCTGAGAGGCTGCAGAATCATCAGCAAGAAAACCCACAGTCCAGAGTCTGACATGAGCTGGGTAGACTAACTAAAGTTACATCACAAGCTCAAATGAAGTTTGAACAAAGTGCAGCTACAGGCAACACCTCTGTTCTGTTTCCAGATCAAATAATAAGTTGTTTGTGTGTTTGAACATTTCTGTTTGTTTGTTGGCTTGTTTGTTTGTTTTGCATCCCTTTCTGAGACCCTCTTTGTCTGACCTGAGTGTACTCCCAAGAGTTCTATCTGGACCAGTATATTTCTCACTGCAAGTGCTACATCAGCAGCTTAGCACATTGGAGAGCTTCTTTCTAAATTCAAAATTGCCCTTGTGCTTGGAGGCGTATGGAATGTACTTGAGAGCATCACAGGCATATCAGTTTTCTCTCTGTGTAGCCAAGGATGACGTTGCAGGGTACCATCCAAACCATCCCACTTGCAATGTAAATAGTCCAGCACTGCTTGCCTTCTATGCACATTGAGGACATCCCTAAGACATGCAGTTACTGCAAACCTTTCTGCTGGTAAAGGTTAAATGCTCACCCACAGTCCTACGGCTATATGGGATCATGCCCAGTCAAAACCTGGTATTTCTGCAGCAAAAATAGACCCTGTGTGCTTATACTGTGCTTGGAGCATTTTGATAGAGTTCTGCATCATTTTGCAAAGTTGTAAAGTCCTCCAGGACCTCATGAAGCCTCTGGAGAAATGGGGGGGAAAGGCAGGAATGGGAGGTAAAAAAATTAAGAAATTACTAGCAGTATCTGTGAACTTCATGAACCTATTACAGAAACCCCAGACACAAAACACAGTATAAAGCTAAGTTCCAGCACCCATTACTCACCCTACTTTTGAAACATGAGTAAGTCATGTGTGGAATAAGATACTGCTCTGTATGAGACATCCGTGGTTCAGTATAACCTGGACCACACTGCATGAGGGATTTTCTGTCCCAAAAGCAAAAAGCAAACTGAGTGAAAAAGAAAGTAAAAAATATGACAGTGTGAAAGTTCCAGGTAAACAATATCAGAAGGACAAAATATGAGTTACATATATATACCCTGAACTGTGATTTCAGAGTAGATACAGATGTTGTTGTCAAGCATTTGCCATGGGGTAGATTATTTTGCTGGACCTTCTGGAGGGAGAAGGGAGAAAGACTGGTCAGATATTTTTTTATCATCTTTAAAATTACAGGAATTTATTTCCAACTTTGTTCCAGCTGCAGCTTATTTTTTTTCCAAGATTCTAAGCATACTCTACCCGATGTGTGGGCTCGGCCGGCTTTAGAAATGCAAAAGAAACAAATTAGGGAATTGTCTCTTGCTTTTTCATTCTGTCTTTACTTTCTCAATCTTTCACCATTCCACACAGATTCCAAGCTGTATCCCCACTGAGAAATGCAGGGCATGTTAAATAAGGAGTAGTTTGATGAAATAACAAACTCTGAACACAGCTGTCTCCACAGTCAGTGGTCTGGTCTCCTCCTCTCCCATCCCATTACCAGCCATTCCACTGCAAGCCCCACATTTCCCATCTTCCTTCTGTGCCCTCCAAACTCCCTCTTCTTTCCCTTTTCCTCTTTCACTTGCTTCTCTGCCTCCTGTATACACGAGGACCCACCTCCACACTATCATACCAAGTCTCTCAATTAAAAAGGTGACATTTTGTATAAAAATAAAAAAATCAGCAATTTTGAGCAATGACGAAGGAGGTAAGACTTCAAGAATAATGCATCAAGGAAGCAAAAATGTCTCTATTGGGCCAGTGTAATCTCTCTGTCATGGCCTAATGACAAAAAAAACCAAAAAACCCCAAACTGAAAATGCTGTTTGGAGCCTAACCTGTTAAGTTCCCAAAATTGCCAGTTAGTTGTTTGGGAATTTCCTGTGTTGCACCCAAACTACTATGCTTCATATCCATACATAAATTTCCTCAATTAATTTTTCAATGCCCTCTCATTTTGCATTTGAGAGAAACAGTAATTAATTGCCGCTTGAATCTTTTCACAGAACTAATTCACAATGCTTCCATTAGTACCCTGTATGACTGCTGAAATACCACATCCAATCCATATAGCCATAAAGTTTTGTTTCACATCCAGTCACAAACTGGTATTACCTTCCACAATAAAGCCAAAACAGCTATCATTATATCAGGTCTATTTTCTAGCTTCAAGCAAGTGTATAAGGGCAGCTTTGGAAAATATCTCCAAGTACCTTTTGCAGTTCATTACTCTGTAGTGCCAATGCTCATGTAGTGCAAATTAACTTGTATGTTTTTGGATGTAAGCCTGACAGTGAATGTCAACCACAGCCCAGACTGTACACATTCACAAATCATTGTAATACATATAACAATGCTTTGTTAAGTGCAAGTTTTAAAGGGGGGTTAATGCTGCCTTAAGTAGATCAGATGAACGAGGTAGTCACTGTAGCAGTTTTAGGCTACTTTTTAAGAGTTACTGGACAGCATGTGATGTATCTATATGCAGAACAGTGCTTGTATTTGGAAACGTGATTTTCAAGAAATTTCAAGTTTTGTTTTTCAAGAATTTGTGTCATTTCTGCAGCTGCATATCATAGGGTTTTCAAAATGGGTTGACTCAGGCACACCCAAGTATTCTTGTAGGGCTCTGTTATTTACAAGCCATTCTGTTAAAATGGCAGTTATGATTTGGCTATACTCGTTACTTTGTTTTCATTGTCTTCACATTCTTTCATATGTCTTTGTCTTGATACTGCTCGGCTTCCTAGCAACATGGAGAAACTTAAGATTTGCTCCTTCAAAGAATTCATGGCCCCAACCCAAAGAGTCCCACTGACCACAGTGAATTTTAAGGTTAGACAGATAGAACACCTTCAAGAGCAGCAGGAAAATCTAAATCTGAATTAGAGGGATAATATGGTCTATCCTTGCAATTTTCTGCATCAATAAAACCTTCACAGAGGCTGAAATCCTGACCTCACTAACACTGACTAACCCTCTCTGGAAGATTTCACTAATACGGTTCCACTGGTACATGCACCTTACAAGCTAATTCACTTCTCCTTTTATTTGTAATTTGAAAGCCAGATGCCTAGAAAATTACCAGAATGTCTACTCCTTAAAAACAAGTAATAAAGATAGATATGAGGGATAGAGAATCCTGAATATATAAACTCAAAAGCTTAAGCAGTCAATTCCAATTTTTCATATATCTGACACAATTTTCTTAATTGTTGCATCACAATTTACTAACAAGGCATTTGTCTTCTTCATTTATTTTCTTTCCCTTTCTTCCCTTTAAATTCACAGCTGCAAATCAATGCAAACTCATTCAGCGATTACCCAGGAGAACACTTGTATTTTGTAAAGTGAACATTGTGCTTTCAGGACCTCTCACTTTTAACAATGTTACACCCTTGGGCCTTTCTGCCTTCCAATTCCTAGCTTGAAAGCTTGCATTCTCACTAGCTGTCCCTTTTTAAGTATGCTTTTGTAAAACTGCACTGAAGTGAAAAAATGTTCATGAAGAACTTTGGTATATTATTTTAAATAGCAAAGGTAGCTCTCCTGCCTCAATCCTGGCATCTTACGATTTTTTTTTTTTTTTTTTTTTACATTTTGGCCAAAAATATCAATAAAATAAAGTAATTCTCAGTTTCCTATGTTACAGCCAACAAACTGATTACATTATTACTGGATAACATCACCTCTCTGGAATTAGGCTGCTAGCTGAGGTTTTATTATCGTAGTGAATTCACACTGCCATGGTTAGCAATGTCAGCATTTCAATTAAAATAGTCTCTTCCTCCTCCTCCTCCTCCTCCTCCTCTGACTATCTTTTCTCAAAGGGCTGAAATTTGGACTTAAAAATGAACTTAAGGTAGAAGGACTGACAGCATAATCCATGTCACTAAATCCATGGCTTATCATTTTAGCACGTTTCTGACAAGTAGCTTTAGAGTATTTTTAAGTAAAGGCCCGACTTCATGCCTTCATCCTCTATCCAAAATTTGAGCGTGTACGCAGAGTATGTCACACTCATTACCACTACCTTTGTGGCTTGAGCTTCTTAATAAATGAGTTTTTAATAATCTCCTCATTTCAGGGAGCCACTGCTTTTAAAACTGCGCATCCAGCAGGCAGCTTGGACTGAAAGATGTGTGTTTCTACAGCTTTGCTTCAAAATTCTGTTTCAAAACAGGGATGTCATGCACGAAGCATGTTTCTCAAAAGCACTGCTGGTGCTGAGGCACGCAGGGTAAAGGACCTGAAAGCACTCCACCTGGGAGCTCTGAGAAAAGGTGGGAGACCCGCTGCAGGCTCGCCATGAAGACATCCTCCATACGTTTTTGCTGGGACGTGCCAGGAGGGCTCCATGGAAACCGCAGGCAGCCAAAACCCAGCTGCGTGTTTGCCGAGCAGGGCAGAGCGCAGCGGTAATGACACCGGCGCTGCCCGTCCCTCGGACTGCCACTCGCTGTCCCGGTGTGCGCCCCGCGTCCCCTCCCCGCCCCGCGCTGAGGTTCTGTGTTTGCCTTTGTCCTTGTGCTGGCGGGCGGGCGGCTGTCCCCGGGCACACGCCGGGCACACCTCGGGGACAGCGCGGGGCCACGGCCGGGGCTCGGTCCGGGCCCGGCCCGCCCGCCCGCTCCAGCCCTGGCGCCGAGGGACCGGCCACCCCCTCCCGGCCCCGACGGTCACTTACGGTGGGGGCGGGTGCCGCCGGGAGCGCTGCCGGCCGCGGGGACGGACCCCGGCCCGCCTGCCACAGGGGTGCCGGCCGGGAGGGGGGCGGCCTCCCGTTCGGTGTCGGAAGGGTGAATGTTTGCCGGAAACCCGGGCGTTTATTCCACTTGGCAGAAGCGCAGGGGGTCGGGGAGGGGGCAGGGGTGCGACGGGCGGCACGCGGTGCCCGGGGAAGGGGGCGAAGAGCGGGGCCCGATGTGCCCGCTCGCCGCTCGGCTCTCGGATCCGCTACCCGGCGGCTGCCGCCGTGAGTCACCCCCGGCCGCGGCAGCGTCAGCCTCGCCGCGGCGTTGGCAGCCAGACGAGCCGCGGCGCGGAGCCGCCGCTGTCCTCGCATGAACCCGGCGGGGCTGCCAGCGCCAGCCGAGTGCGCGCAAGGCGAGAGCCGAGGCTGTGCCGGCGCGGCGGCGTGCGACACCCCTGCGGCGGGGATGGCGGAGCCGGGGCGGGGGGCGGGAGCGGGGGGGGGCAGCCCCTCGGCGGCCGGGCCCGAAAGGTAAGCGTGGGACAGGGAAGGTGCGGCGGGGGCACGGTCACGCAAAGGGCACGGGTGCGGGCGGGAGGCGCTGCCCCCGGGGCCCCGCGTCCCCGAGGACGTGGCTGTGCCGGCCCAGGGCGAGGGGAGGGGGCGGAGGGGGGCGTGGGGGGCGAAAGCGCCTCCGCTCCAGGCACGGGTCAGACGGCTTCCGACAGGGGATGCTCGTCGGTGCGAACGGCTAACCCCACCGGGCCCTGTCCTGTTAAAAAAAGAAAAAGCATCCTCTGCCCCGCGGCGCAAAGATCCCGCTCCTCTTGGGCGAAAGATGCCTCGTTGCCCAACAAACAGCCTTATCTCCCTTCTCCTGGCCGCGGGGAGCGGCAGGAAATCGGGGCAGCTGCCGGCAGCTGCTGGCGATGTCTCGAAAGCCGCAGGCAGGGTCACGGCCGCTGCCGCGCTCCCACCGCCGTGTCCCGAGGTGGCGTAACCCGGGGAGGGGGGTTCACGGGCTTATCCACAGCCTCTCCCTTTGCTCCCACCTGTCATCTCTAGTTTTTGTTCATTTCTTTGCTGTCCGCCCACCCCATCCCCTACAGCTGGAGCGACCCAGTCCCTAAGGACAAGGCAGGTTGCCCACGCGAAAGCACGGAGAGTTTGAGCCCCGGGAGGACATCTTCTGCCCTCTGCCCCTGCCCCGGGCCGTCCCAGCGCCGCGCTTCGCGCGGGGCATTCGACGAGCCCTGGGCACCGGACCGGGCTCCGCCGGGGGCGCAGAGGCGCCGCGCTACCCCCGAGGAGCCGCGCTGGGAGGTAGGATGCGCTCGACATCAGGGAGACGAGAGCCGGGAAAAGGGCTTTTAAGGAAATTCTCCCTCGGTGATGTGAGGTCGGGTGGGAGGGACGGAGCCCCTCTTGGCTCCGGGAGGGAGAGACCTATCCGCACACGCAGATCAGGTCATCGCAGTGCAGCAGGTGCCTCCGAACCCCTTCGCTTCTTCCCCGCTCCGTCTCAGAGAACATCGCCCGAGGGAGTCCAGAGACACCACCTTAATAGCCGTAATAATTAAAAACAACAACAACAACAACAAAAACCCCCTTCTGCCTGGCCTTAATGATCCTTTACACACATTCCCCAGCCGCTCCCTCCCCCGTCCCCCCAGTGAAGGGCACTGATTATTCGCACTCCTCTGTTTGCCGAGAGCGCAGCCTGATGAAAGGACTTTATCCTCGAGTGACTCCATCGCTTGCTCCTCCTCCTCTCCCCAGCCTCGCTTCCCTCTCAGCCCTAATTGGGCTCTTGCTAATATGATTAAAGCCCAGTTAAATGTTTCTTGATAAATCTTGTCAAGAGAGGATCCCCCTCCGTCCCCTCCCCTCTCTGTCGGTTGTCAGAAGCCCGGTTATAGACAGGACATGCCCGGCTCCTGCTGTTCATACGCTGGTGGGAAGTTGGCATTTCACAATTGTTCCTTTAACAGGGTTGTTTTGGAGCCGGTCCTGCGGATTGTTCCTCTTTAGGCCGGGCTTGCTGATAAGAACCGCCCGTGGCTTTTATGTAACACGTTAGGATTTGGTCCTGGTCCCAAAATCGCACTGTTTCTTTAGCCTTTTATTTCATACCCACCCTCCCCCTCCTGCTCTCCCTGCTCTTAGTAGCCTGTTCCCGGAAAGGCTTTTGCTCGATGTGAGCCGGCCAGGCGCGATCGCCCTTGCAAAAGCCGCGCAGGTCCCAGCGGAGCTGCGCGGGGGCGGAAGGTGCGCACCGGGGGCTGCTCCCGCACAGACGGCCGCCCCCTATTCCCGGGAAAATCCCGTTTTCTCCGGCTCCTCTGGCCGCGCTCGGAGCCCTCGGGCGAGGCTCTCCCTTTGCCGCCCGTCGCTGTGTGGGGCGCCCCGATCCCCCGCAGGTTCTGCGGCAGCACCACGGCAGCGAGCGCACTCTGCCCTTCACCTGCGCCTGTTTGCTTGTGGTTTCACTGCCATTGTACTCGGGGGTTAAACCCCACCCCGCCCCCGTTATCCCCGGGGGAATGTGGTTGAATTCGTAGGAATTAGGAACCAGCAGTCGGCGTTGGAGGGTGAGGGTGGTCCCCGGGCGCCGGGCCCCCTGCGGCCGGCCACGGGCTGGCAGCGCCGTGTCTGTGCTGGCGGCGCCCCCACAGTTCGGGGGGGCTCGTTGGTGGGCCTGTGGGCTCGTTTCCATTTGGTGTTCGGTTTTCTTTGGGGTTTCAGAAGTCCGGCACGGTCTTTTCGAGGGTGTTTGGTGGTTGCTGCTTCAGCCTTACTGGATTTGGAGGCTGCGGGGGCTGTAGCTGTCGAAGGGGGGAAGGGGACGGGCTGTTTGCTCCCCTGTCGAGCCGTGCAGCCACGGCCTGGAAGCTCTTCGATCCGCGGCTGGAGGTGGTATTTCCCGACGGCACACCTGGCCCTGGCTCCAGCAGCAGCCCGTGCCCCCGTGCCGGCAGAGCCTCACGGCATTTCCACGGGGGGCACACGCTGCCTGCACCAGTGGCAAGCAGGGACAGGGGTGCCCGAGGGACACGGACCGCTGCCTCTGTCCCACACCCGGCAAAGTGCTCCCGAATCCCTCCCGCTTGCCACCGTCTGAGCCCCACAGGCTGCTCCTCTTCGTGCCCGAGGCTCTCCCAGGGGCAGGCGGCGGCGCTGCCCCGTCCGCCCTCGGGGCCTCCGCTGCGGGGACGGGCCTGCGGGAGGCAGCGGAGGAGAAAGGTCAAAACCAAACAACGAAAAATCACCCCCAGCCCTGGGGAGCGCAGCTCCAACAAAGGAGCTTGTTCCCTGGGCAGGGGAAAACCCTAGCCAAGGGGCAAAACAGCGATGTCCGTGCCCGCCGAGCCCCGCTGCCTCCTGCGGGCGGCGGAGCCGGGGCCGAGCGGGGCGGGGGCCGCGGGGCCGAACCGGGCGGGGACCTGCGTCCCGCCGGGGCTGCTCCTCCTTGCTGCGACCCCGCGGAGCGTCGGCCCTCCCCAGGCGAAGTTTCAGCCGCGGTTTGAGGATGGTTCCCTCTCCCTGCTCGTTCCTTCCCTTCTCCCTTGTGTGTTCCCCACCGGGGGGGGTCTGAGAGACCACAAGAGCTGCGGCCCCTCTGGCCCGGGACTGTGGATTTACCCGAGAAGAGTCCTAAATAAGCAGCTGTTTGTGCTCTAGCTGGAACGCTGGAGGCTTTCTAAGAATGGCGCTTTTCTTACACGAGGGTTGGGGTTTTTTTAATTTAATTTTATTTTTATTGGTGCATCGAACCAGCCTACAGCATTGCTGGCATCTTTCCACCAGGTGTCTGGGGCTCAGAGAAAAATTCAAATGAATCTGAAAATTGTGAGACAGTTTCCCTCCCCTTCTCCCAAATAAAATATAAGAATTGGTACAAACTGTCCAGGAAGGGATTCAAGATGGAAAAAGAAAAGCACCTTCACTCCACCAGTGGTGAGGACCCAGAAAGGCCTTCCGCAGTCAGGAAGGAATCAAAGCACCTGGAAGATGGAATTTGACTGGATTGAGAACCAGCTTCTGAGATGTGGTTACCACCCACAGCAAGGAACTTGACCCCATGATCCCAAATATCCCTTTTAATACTCTTCCTAAAAAATAATAATTTGCCTTTCTATACACCAAAAAAAATTTTTCAAGTACATTGCACACATAAAACTACTCTGCTCCACAGCATTCTTTTAGGTACGAATCCCTGTTCCCATTCTACAGAGGATTTGCCGGTTTGCTGCAGGGGTCATGCTTGGAGCTGGGGGCACTTGCTGTGTCCTGAGACCCAGAGCTCCCACCAGCACCCAGCACTGCTCTGCTCACTGAAACCCCCTGACAATGATGCTGTTATATCTGCAAATATAAGGGGCTGCTTTGCAAAACCCAGTAAACAGCAATTCTGGATGTTGTTTTAAATCAATATACGGTATGAGGAAACAGACATGCAACTGGGGGGGTTAGGTTTTAAACTCTCGGTGTTTGACTGTTATCATTATTTACTTAAACACCACTTAGTCTAAATAAGTAGTCCTTGTTACTTTTAGAAGAACCTAGCTGAACTGACTGAAAGATTTTCTATTCACCTGACTTACAAAACAATCGTTTTCTGTCTGAATAAATTGAGAGGACTGACTGACGCTCATGCTTTCGATGTAGACAGCAAAAGCTAGACTCAAATCTACTTGCTTTTCTTATGCAAATCTTCTCACTGGATTAGAAGGGAAAGTAAACAGCAGTCCAAACATAAGATCTTTTTTCTTTTTAGAGGCAGCCTGTTGTATAAATCTGAAATAGAAACTGTTTTCATTTGAAGATCAAATAGAAGCTATCTAGTGAAGCTGACAAACAGGGCTGCATAATCTGTTTGCATTTTTGGGAAAAGGATAGCTCTGGTTTTGTTTCAAGGCAAGGAACTTTTAAATAATATTTAACGAAATAATTGACCTTGATGTTTAAACTACAACTTCCTTCATGTCATTAAGCTCACTGTTTTTTTAAAAAAATGTTTAGTATCTGAACTCTGGCGTTCATTCTGCTAATCTCATAATAACATTTGTTTCTTGTGGAATTTTGTTTGATGAACTCATGGTGAAAGAGGAGAGAGAGTTCAGAACAACACGAGCTTTGCAGCTCATTTATACTTTTTCTCTCTGAAAAAAATAGCAAAAACATCATTATACAGAATGACTTTTCAGGAACAATTTCTCAGATGGATAGATCAAGAAGAAACTTTCTACAGCTGAACCATAAGCCTTGGGACAAGCTGTTCTTTTAACATGTATTCTGACTTTTAAAAAATATTGCAGTCTTTGACTACAAAAAAATGATTTTGTGGAGTTTGTCCTCATGATAACTAGACTCTGAGTCTGCTTTTGAAATGTGAGAGAAATGGAACTAACTCCATAAAGTGTGTCTATCACATAAAGCTTTTAGGACAGCCTAATTCACACTATATCCTGCCCTTTGTTCAACTGACAGATTTCCAACTGCAGAAAGAGGCACATATCTGGGGACTGCTATTATCTAAGCTAAATATGTACATTTTGGATCAGTTCTATTTTATTTGAATACTCACAGTTTCTGTTTGGGGATCTTAAGCATGAAAGGATTGCAGTGATGTGCATTTTATTAACTATCCATCATTCTTTGTACATGCACAAAGGTGCATAAACATACACATTCACTAGTCTCTCTGCTCTGCAAGAGTTCAGAAAATTTCATGCAAAATTATTTCAAATAAAAACAAACAAGGAACAAAACAACATGCACATTACCATACAAGAAAGCAGGGAAACAAACAAGGTGGGGAGAAATTAAAGCAATAAATGAACAGAGTTTAACCTAATTTTTATTTGTTTGTAAATGAAAAATACCATGACAGAAGTGGATTTTTTTTTTCCAGTCATGTGATCCTTGAATTGCAAAACACTGGTATCTACCAAAACACTGTTTTGTACCCTGCACGTTGTGTACTCACTCATAGATGAAAGCTCTTCCTTTTTCCCTGCTGGCACACATTTTTTCTCTCCAATGAGTACCTACTTTCAGAAGAGTATGACAAATCAGGTTGCTTTACTCCCAACAAAGGACACGTAGTTAAATTTCCCCTGATAAACAATATTTGAATTCCCACCCCAGGGTACAAACAATCAGCTCCATAATGTTTAAAGACCTGGGATCTAGAGAGCATGGTGGTGTTACACAACTGGAGATGTGACGTTATCTGGCAATCTGAGCAGGGTCACACTGGTCATGGGACAATACAAATTCTGTGTCAGTCATCGTGTTGATACAGGTTTTCTCAACTTCACACAGGTGTTATTCAGTACAAGCAAGAGTAAATGGTCAGAGTCATGTCCCATCTCATCACTGTCCTCTATCTCTGCCTCCCCTGTGGCATACTTGGCATAGGACATCCCTCAGAGCATGCCATGGCAGTCCCTCAGGTCCCTGTCCCCAAGTGACTAACCGGTGTGTGGGACACAGGGCAGCACCCACGTCACACCAGTGATGCATTTGCAGGAGGTACAGCCAAGGGGCACTTTCTGTTACCCCCTTAATACAATCCCCACTGTGACTCAACACCAGCAAGGGAAGGGAGGAGGCACCCCCTGTTCTGTGGGGTTATCATGCAGCTCCCCTCCACAGGTTGCCTCTTTGCCTGCCAAGTCATATTTCTACTTATTTCTACTTATGCAGCTGCTGCTCTTCACTTTTACATAGAATGAGAATGTGGCATCTGGGCATGGCAGTTCTTGTCCTGATAGTCATTTAGCTGTAGTTACTTGCAGAAGCTACTGGCTCTACTATTTTTGTTTGGTTTTGTTTTTGTTAATATTATGAGCTTCAAGGAAAATAGTACAGTAGCTCTTCCCAGTGAATTGGGTGCTGTGGCTGCTACAAGTCACATCGGACCTATAGCCTGTGTGTTTTGGGATATGCAGTCAGCATCTAAGCTGATACATCTTTTCCCAACAACCAAACGTAGCTTGCAACACGCGGGCAGAGACAGAAGATGGCATTTCTGTCATACAGGGCATACATGCTCATTCCATCTTCTGCTCCTCTGATGATGATTTGTGAGGAACCAACCTGGCATATTGCCTCAGCCCAGGGAGTAAACTTCATCTCCTCAGCACAGGTGTTAAGCAGGCAGCTGTGCAAAACCAAACTTCTCTGTGAGACTGAATGCACTGTTGTTCCATATTCTCCTGAGAATTATTTACCTTGAGATTTTGCTTGACTGTGGGAATTCTCTCAGCCCAATATTTATATCAACATCCCCCACTCTTGATTAGGGAATCAGAAACAGTGACTGTGTCCTAAATTTCATCAGTCTCTGGTTATCTTACTTTAGAGTCTTCTATTCTAAAAATGTCTTCTTATCAGGCATGGTTATTCTTTGTATCCTCTGCTGAACTGGTATAGAACATTTCTGCACCCTGCAAAACAAGCAATGAATATTTCCCCCTGTGCTAAATTCAGTTGTTCTTATGGAAATCATGTCAGTCAACCTGCAAAGAGCTTCAGGGTCTGTATGTAACATGAGCTTAAACAACACCTGCCTGGATACATCTCCTTACTTTTCCTCCAAACATACCTGTGGGTCTGTCAGAGAGCCCTAGAGAAGCTGTAGCCACCATGATGGTGGTAAGGGTGTGAATCCAGAGAGGATTAAGGCTGCTAGCCACTGCAGCATGTCCCTGCTGCCTGCACCTTGCTAAAGCACAAAAGTCTTGTGACTGGCATGTCCTCCACTTCGCTGGGTTACATGACACATGCCAGAAAATGTGTCAACCCACTCCCCATCTCTTCAGCATTATTAGCCTGGGGAGGGAAACACAGCCAAAGAACACGCACACAACTTTGACAGGTTCTGCCTAATCCACCCACATAATGACATTTCTTATGCTAAGTGCCAGAGCGGTGTAGGGAGGCCACTGTCTGTACCAGCTGCTGGCAAGTCAAAGTTAGTTTCATGGTTATGTTTAAGATATAGCCTGATGTTACGTTAAGAAGTCTTTCTCTCCTGTGGTGCAGCGCTCAGAGAATGACATCAAAAGCCTTCCTAATTCACCCCCCGGGTCATCTGATTATAGGCATGGCACAGAGCCATGCTGCCCCAGGAGCCTGTGAGTCAGGGTGACATCCATGACTATCCTCTTAGTCCGTGGAAGGAAGTAACGTGCCCTGAGCATGAAACAACCTGGAGCAGATTACATCCTTCCTCGTGTCAGCTTAGCCCTGCTGGCTGGTGGGGCAGGCACTGGGGAGGCAAGAGCAGCCTCTGATTCCCCAGCCTTACCTCAGGGAAGCTGTTTCTACCCGTGCTGGGACACGTCATGCAGGCAAACCCCACGAGAGGGTTTTGCTCAGCCAGTCAAGGAAGAGGATGATCGGGCTCTCTTCTCCAATGTGGTGCAGGGTTACATCACACAGTGAAATATCCATCCCTCCTCCAGCAGCCCAGGCATATCTGATCATGAGGGTGCTGTGTGTTCTCCATCCCTTGGCATTTATCCTTGTAATTAGTCTATCTGTTTCTGATTTATTTATTTTCAGGCAGTCTTCTACACCCTTGCTCCCTCACTTGGGCACATGGGGCAAACCACAGACTTGCCCTTAAACTACACAGAAAAATAAAATCAGAAACAGACTAACCACAAGAATCAATAGCAAGGGGCAGACAGCACATGATTGGATAGTGGAGCTTCCTTCAGAGATCCATCTGCCTTGAAATGTGATGTAACTAGGCTCACATACCACGTCTGCGAAAGGGGGGAACAGATTCGCCTTCGTAACCTGACTGTCAGGGTGAAACTATGCTGGCTCAGAGAAGCCAAGGCATGTTTGAAAATCACTTCTAAGGAAGAAAAAGAAGTCCATTTTGTGTTCACAGAGCTAAAGCAATCACTTTCAAGTCTGACGTGATTCCTGTTAGTGTTATTGTTGCTTCCTAGAATTTAGGCTTGAATTTGGCAGAAGTCGAGAAGCCAAGGCATACACAGAACCATTTGTGAGAATCAGTGTGTCTGTGTGCATGGGCCAATTCTTTTCTGAATAAACACCAGTCCCTGGGCTGCTGGGTAAAGTGTCGATATAAGATGGCAGTCAGACATGTAGGCTCATACTCATGAGGTAAGGCTATTTAGGGATGCAAGTCACCTTTTTTCCCCTACAAATAAACACAAACAGACAGTAAGCCATGCCTTTCAATGCTATTAAAATATTTTTGTTACCTTCCATACTGTTCCTTGTTTGTCTCCCAAAAGTAGCATCATTTCCTGGGAGAGGGTATCAAGACATTAATCAAAAATAGATGAACAGTACAAGAAATGAAGGACAAGCAGACAAGTATAAATATCTTCCTGCATATCCAGAATACAGAAGCTGTCTGAAAACCTTGTGATTAGAGCCAATACACTCAATCCAGCCACACAGACAGCGTGCACTGCTGTCATTCCTATACTGAACATCTCATTGGATACCCTGTGATTCTGCAGCCCTCCATCAGGTGAATGATGTGAAGTCATTGCTCATGAGATAGATCAGACAGTACAGAAACCCTCCAAACAGAAACCTCTGCTTGTTTCTGGCTAGGAAGAGTAAATCTTTTCTTTTGGGATCCGCAGAAATACAGATGCAAAAGCAGGACGTGGGTAAATGAGAGAAGATAAGGTATTGCTCCTGCAAGCAGAACATCCTGTCTTCAAAGTGGGTGAGTACTTCCAAACTTTCCAAATATTTCATTGCCCTCCAAGCAGATCATAGGTCTGACCCTCTTTCCAGATACTTTCCAGCGTTCTAAGCCATAATAGAGGCAGGCAGAAAGTATAATTTTGAGAAAAAGAGATTAAAAAAAATAAATGGGAAAAAAAACCTGAGGATGCCCTGATTTCCATAGTCAACCTCCTGGACACTGCCACAGAATTTTGTACATCTCCATGAAGATGTGGCTGATTCTGGTTGATCATTAGCAGAACTTGAGGCAGCTGTATAAACAGCAGATTTCTACACCTACAGGTCTTCATTCATTTCCTCCAGTGAGGTTTTTAATTTGACTGGCAGCTAGCCTATCTGTGCAGCTGATAAGAGAAGGAAAAAATCACCCTCCAGTGCTTGCATCGCCACTGCCTTTCCTCTGGTTCTCATCACAGAAGTGTACAAAGAACTAAAGAGCTCTCAATACATTTGTAACCAAATATTTACCCTAAGTGAGGTAGATTATATTTGCTTATTGTACCCATTGCCATGCTGGCACGTGTTCATGACTGCCTAATTCCTTGGAGTGCTATGGAACAGTTTAAAAACCCCTTGTTTATCATAAACTGTTTGGCAATGAGAGCACATTCAGTGTTGTCCAGGGTATAGCAGCTCCAGAGCTCACATGCCTGGTGTTTGGGCACTTGGCGTTGTCTCCCTTCACAAACAGAGCACTGGGGACAGCTCTGGGATGCAGCCAATTCACCTCAGTCTCTTGCAGGGTTATTAGGAGTATTCTGAAATTCTCTCAGGCATTTCATGAAGAGAAAATATAATTAAACCATGTTCAGAGGAAACGTTCTTCAAGGAAATACAACTTCATCTTAATCAGCTTGCTTTTTTGAGAGCATACTCATTTTGACAACATTTTTAATGGAGACAAATTAAAATATTATTTACAGTAAATTATATTTAAATTATTGCTTTCCATAAAGTGAAAACATATAAGTAGTTCCTTGTTTTGTTTAATCTTGTTTTGAACTTTATATAGCATTCATATATTTAACATTCTCCTACTAAATTGAATATTTTAATGTCATTATAACTTTCGGGTTTTCTGGTGTGAGAATGATTTGACACTTACAGAACACTTCCACCATGCCAAATATATTCTCTTGGAATTCTCAGTCCCTGAAAACTTCACCACCTTCTCTTTTTCCCCGAGTGTTGGAATTTCCCATAGGATGGAAATTCTGTTTACTGACCAACTCTGCTAAAATGTCTTTCTCTATCAAAAAAAAGGGGGGGGAGGGTGTCACAAATACACAACCGTAAACTTGTCAGGATGCATTTCTTATTGTTGGCTCATATGTTGCCCTCTTTTGGTAGCTTTTGTATTGTACTGCACATAAAATATTTAACAACTGCTGCAGCAACTCAATATCCAAAGGGGACTGAGTGCTGAATGTTAAAACTAAGCAAATGTATGAAGAGAGCAGCAGGTTGTGAGTTTGGCACATAAAGATCTTATAGAGACATCCTGTTGGGAGAGGCAAAGCACTAAGGTATTAATAAAGCAGTACAGCATGAAACTGGACTGTAAAGGTTAGTGAGAAAGAGGAAAAAGATCTGTAGATACTCACTCATGTGAATAATTTAACCCTATATCCTGCCTTCAATCCTCTGATGAGAAACCTGACTTTGAAAAATTTGTTCGATCAAGACTTGTAAAGGGTAGCTCTGCCCTAATCATCACTCATTTGGTCTTTCCCCGTTACTTATTTCATAATCTATGCAAGGGTTTTATTAAATTCTTGTGGGTATTGACTAGTAAAGCCCAGAAAAGTGCCTGCTAATTTTCCAGGAGTAAATCCCTACCAAAGTCAACACTTTCTTCACTAATTTATTTCTGAATGATGAAATTAAATCTGCAGTGATTTGCTAGTACTAGCTATAAAATCATGTGAGAGTTACAGTATTATAAGCCTAGAATCATTATTTAAGCAAAACACTGAAGTGTTAATTTTTTTCCAGAAGAGAGTTTTTTCCCCTACTATTTCTGACTTAATTTAAAAAAAAAAAAAAGCCCCTTCTCAGTCTGTGCCAATGATTAAGAGTCTAAAGAGATGGGTATTCACCTCCTCTTGACTTTGCAAAAGAGCTGAGTGCTAACTCCCCCAAAATACCATTCTTAGAGAACAAACTGCTCTCTGCTCAGATAATTCTCAGTTATAAGCACAATAAATGGTTACTCAGGAGAGATATTCCCACCATATCTGTGATTCCAGTTCAGCATTCCACAGCCCTATTCTTTAAAGATTAATTTTCTTTGGTTTGAAAACCAGCATCAGGAATTCAGCCTCACAGTAACTGTTTTATGAACAGTCACAGAGATCATTTCAGAGTTCAGAAGGGAACTCTTCCTCCCACCTTGAATTGTGAAGGTTCTGTGGTAACTGGAGGAATTCTTGGGATAGGGAAGAACACTGAGCCTTCCAATGTAAAGACATACATTCTCTAGTGCTTAACTCAAACCTAACCTAAACCCCCAACAATATGAACTCCTCTTGAAAGACCATCTGACAGCCTTCCAATTTTCACCTTAAAAAAAATAGACACGAAAGGCATGATTTAGGTGCCACCCTCTCCCTCTTGTATAATGCTTAAGACTTCATAGACCTTTGTTCCATATCTTGTGGTAATAAATGACTGTCTGGTGATTTTGATGCAGCCAGTATGCACCTTTTGGTGGCCAAGGGCTCACAGATTTTTGATCAAGTTTCCTCCCAGATCTAACCAAGCTCCTTCCTGCTCCAGGCTGATGAAGTGCTTTAACATGTGCTCTGTTTAACCTGATATGTAGTTCCTTTGTTAAAGCCACCTAGCAGGGCTGTAAAGGGAGTTGTAAATCTGCAGCACAGCTCATACACTTTAAGTTAAGTTTATGCTTAATGAGATGTTTGGTTTGAGCCTGAGTCTTTCCCCCAAGTGTTTTTTCCAGCCTTTGAATCGTTGTGGGATTTCTTCCAAGTCCTTCCAGTCAGCCAGTGGCTGGCAATATTGAACACAGAGTTGAATGCAATAGCACAGATCTTTTACACAGGCACTCTTACCTCCCTGCTTCATGGTACATGTCTGTATGTGCACAGCTTTTATGCAAATTCATACCTCTCTCCCACCTGGTCTTCTCCCTGCTATACCTTGAAACTCTGTCAGAAATACTGATGGCCAGGACATGTACATTCCAAAAAACCTTGGCATTTGTTTTCTTCTTTTTTTTTTTTTTTTTTTTATTGTGAATTGTTTGGGCGATTTTGTGCTTAGCTTTCTAGTATCTCCCATTCCTTTGATATCATTATCTGCATTCTTCTGTTTACATTCTTTCCTGGTTTAGTATCATCACCACATTTCACTATTTTGCTGTTTACCTCTACTTTGAGATTATCATACAGTTACTAAATAGAACAATGTCTGTCAAAAGTCCCTGACATGACCTATAAGATATTTCCACAAGCTACAACAATTGATCATTGCTCTTTGTTTACATTCTTTCTCCTATTTCAGTCTACACAGCAGTGTTCTCCGCCAAAACAATTGAAGTTCTTTCTCTCAACATGAATACCTGAAACTGTGTCAAATGACACATTCAGTGCTCCGCACAGCACTCACCCACATTCCCATCGTGCTGTGGATCTCTCAGTTCACTCACTGAGCATACTGCCTTGCTTGCTGAGTGTCAACTTGGAGCACCCTGGCCACAGCCTACAGCCCTGGCCCCCAAATCTGTAATATATAGAATTTATATGTTGCATATTAACATGAAAGGCATACTTAATATGTTTTACTTTGTGCAAGACCATACTACTTGCTATTCCTGATACTATTTGCCTCAGTGTTTCCTTGGGATTAGCTGGATGACTTAGCTGTAAGAAACAATCAGAATTTGGCCTAAAATATTATTAAATATTCAAATTATTAAAGACCTTGTCCTTGATTTATGGCCTCTGCAGTGAGAAGTGTCCATTAACTGCCCTGTCTAACATTTTCTGTCGCAGACATTTCCCGATTCCCTATATATGAAGCCCAAAATTTCTGCTTGGCCGACATGTGTTCTCCAGAAAGAGATTCAATTTTGACATGTACACAATTGCTTTCTTGGGCTGTTTGTTTCAGCAGTTCATCACACTTACTGCTACAAATCCAAGCCTCAACGCTCGCTTAAATTTACTTGGCTTATATTTCCACCCACTGATTCTTGTAATATATTCATCTGATGCAAGACACTTTTTTTCTTGTTGTGAAGGTAATTATACACTGTAATCCAGCCATCTCATTTTGGTAAGGGAAACAAAACGTACTTTCCAATCTGCAAGCAGTTCTTGTACTTTTTCTCCCACCCTTTTTCAGATTTCTAGCACCCACTGTGCTGTAACACACTCCAGCCACATAAGTCAACTCATACATCCCTGCTAACTTGTTCAAAGAGGATTTTATTCCTCTTCCACACCATCAGATCAAGCTCTGTGTCCAGTTGCTTCCCTGCAGTGATACCATGGACTCTTCAAGCACCACCCTTGGGATATGATTTCTGTTGCATCAATACTGACACTATTTGTGCATGATTTAAGATTCTTTTCTGCAGAGGTCCTGCTTACTGAATTTGGGCAGCTCCATCTTCAAAATTTATTTATCGTTCCACCAATTTTAATTTCCTCCCTAATTTACTAAGCACTGTTTAAATAGGGATGTACTTGTCTCTCAACCATTAAGGGCAGTACTGGGGCCTGCCAAGAGTAACACCCATTTCTGCAAACTGACTCCAGAGCTTTCCTTCAGAGCTGACAGCTGCTTTTTGACACCTATCAGTTAGTCAGTTCTTAATCCCCTCAGCAGTCACTCAATACCTGTTGTACAGTACTCATTTGTATTAAATGCTTAGACAGAGAAGGCAAACAAGTGTATTTGAATGCTGAAAAAATGGGCTAAGAACTTAAGTCCCAGAAAGTGTTAAAAAGC